TTTTTTTTTTTTTTTTTTTTTTGAGGCCAGGTTTCGCTTTAGTTGCCGGTGTTACGATTATGAAGGAGACTATTACTGTTTGCAGGATAAATAAGGTAAGGTAGTCAGAGAAACAGAATTATCATGTCAGAAATTTACTCTCAAATGGTTCAGGCAAAGAGTTCTTTATGCACTTGCAACTTTAATTTCTTTCAAAATTTAAAAATTAAAAGCTCTTAGAAAACTAAAAGAAAGAGTGAAATTTTTTAACCAGCTAAGGCAATGCTAGTTGAAGCTGGTCCTCTAACTTCTAATCAAAATTTTTAACAGTAAAATCAATTTTTCTTTTTTTTTTTTAACCAGGGATCGAACTCCAGACCTTGCACTTGTGAGGCAGGCAGCAGAACCACTGAGCTAAATCCTCTGCCCTAAAATCTATTTTAATAAAATAATTTTATCTGTGAATCTAGTAAAGACAAATTTAGGCTTGAAATTAAGGTGTTTTGGTTGTTTTTTAGTAACTCATTTTATAAAGTACACTGCAGACTGAAATTAAAAAAAAAAAAGAAAAACTGGTCTGCTCTTGGGCTAGGGAGGTGGCTCAGTGGTATAGTGCTTGCCTAGCATGCACAAACCCATGGGTTTGATCTCCAATGCTGCTGCTGCTGACAATGATGACCACAATAGTAAGTAACAACCACACCCTTCACCACAGTTTGAGAGGCATGTGATAAAGTATTCATGTAAAATGACCTTTTGGCTACCTAGCATGGACAAGATCCTGGGTTCAATCCCCAGCACTACAAAAACAAAAAACAAAAAACAAAAAAAAACTACTGCAATTTTTTTTAAAAGGTTAAGACAGGGTCTCACTATGTAGTTCAGGCTGGTCTTGAAGTCACTAAGCAGCCCAGGTTGGCCTCAAACTGGCAGTGATCCCTCTTGCCTGAGCCTCCCAAGTGCTGGGATTACAGGTATGCGCCACCATGCCTGGCTGCACATTTCACGCTTATGGCAAAATGGTATAGCTTTCTCCTGGGTACAACACATTAAAGCTCTTGTGTTTTATATTTCTCATGGTGCTCTGAATAGTCCAGGTACCAAGGAGGCAACTCGATAAAGTCCTGAAGAATTGGTTTCAAACCAAAACCACTTTCCACTTTGGAGTCACAGTCACAAAATCCATGAGTCTGAAAGATAGCTAGACAATATATACATATGAATAGTGAGAGAGAATACTCTAAAAAATAAAAAGTTTGCTGCCATGTCCCCAGAGGGTAGTAACAGGAATCACACTTCAGGGTGACTACTTAGGGGCCTACTTTCCAAGGCTGATTCTGCACCAGTGAACTCATGGCTCCTTCACTAAGAAATGTGCATCTGTATTTCCTGTGGTGTGGTAAACTCCAGACTGCCTTTAAGAAACCTGTAACCCAAAGGACTCAAGACTATTTTACTACTTTAGAACTTACTTCCTGCTCAACACTTTCCCACCAACGGACCATGGAGGTGTCAAAGAGCTCTAGCTCTGCATTGTAAACCCTGACTTTAACCATGAGCCCATCACCACTTTCAGGTATGCAACTCAGGTAGTACGACCCTCACCTTGTACAAACTCATGTTCTCTGGGGTACAGGTGCTATGTTGACTAAAGAACCTATCTATGAACCTAGTTTTCCAGCCAAGTTCTCTATTTACAACATTCTATATATCCCTACTTTCCAGGCAAGCTTCCCAGTTACAGTCCTGTTGCAACATTGGTGTGACTCTGGGAATGTCCTCAGACTCTTCCAGATTTAACTTCATCTTCTTTACAATGAGGACATTTGGACTGTGTCTGAGGTCTCTTGTGGTTACAAACACACATGCGCGCATGCGCGCGCACACACAGAAGTCATACTAAAATGAGAAGTTGAGCCAGATATGGTGGTATACACCTGTAAACCAGCACTCTGTAAGGCTGAGGCAAAAGGATTTACAAATTTGAGCCCAGCCTAGGAAATTTAGGAACTTAGATCATCTCAAAATTTAATAAAAAGAGACTGAGAGCTGGGCATGGTGGCACACACCTATAATCCCAGCACTGAAGAGGCCAAGGCAGAAGGACTGCCCCAAGTTTGGGGTCAGCCTGGGCTACACAGCATGTTCAAGGCCAGTTTGAACTACACAGTAAGATCCTGGAAAGAAAGAAAAAGAGAGTCAGAGTCAGAGTCAGAGAGTCAGAGAGAGTGAGAGAGAGGCAGATGGCGAGATGGAGGGAGAGGGTGGGAATGAAGCTCAGTGCAAAGTCCCTGGGTTCAATCCTCAATAATGAAAAAAAATTTTTTAAAAATATATATACAGTTGTAGCTGGACATGGTAGCACAAACCTGTAATCCCAGCTAAATTCCAGTAAACTGAGGCAGGAAGATTACAAGTTCAATGCCAACTTGGGCAACTTAGTAAGACTCTGTCTCAAAATAAAAAATGGCTGGGGATGTAGCTCAGTGGTAGAGCACTTGCCTAGCATGCACTGAGGCTCTGGATTCCATCCTCATCACCAGCCAAAAAAAGAATAAATTGTGACTTGAGCCAGGGATTTAGCTCAGTGGCACCACACTGCCTTGCAAGCACAAGGTTCTGAGTTCAATCTCCAGTACGGGGGCGGGGGGGATAAACTGTGACATTACAGCATCAATTCACGATCTGACTTGAAAGTCTCGCTTTACGTGAAAGCGATATCTACAGAGTTTTACAAAGGAAATTCACATTGGCTCCTAGAAAAGAAAATTATATTTTTTTTATGTTTTCCAGCTACCATTTTTTTTCTCCCAGTATCAGGAAACAAAATCAGGACCTTGTGCTTGCCAGGTAGGCACAGTATCACTCCCCAGCTCCCATTTATGATGTAACACTTGGGAAAAGGTGAGAGAAAATCAGGGACTGCCACCCCACCGGGTCACCTATTAGCTACGCCTGATCAGAAGAGACCACCTCATGATCTTTCATGTCTCTCTCCTTGTCGTGATTTAAATTAGCATACTGCTGTGAGAACAGGAACACAGCATTTGTTACTCCTTATAAATGGCATGAAAGGGTAAAAGCTTCCTTCACAAAAGATCAAACTGTTTCAACTTACTGTATTTCCCTGAAAATAAGACCTAACCAGAAAATAAACCCTAGCATGCTTGTTATATAAGCCCTACCCCCAAAATAAGCTCTAGTTAAGACCATCAACCAGGCACTTTTAGTACGTACATTGCAACACATCATAGGTGCACTGAATTATAAAATAATATATAAATATAAAAATATTGACACTAATAATTTAAATAGTATTAAAACATTATAATTATAATTAAAATGAATTATAATTAAGTATTTGCAAAGTCCCAAGCAAGTGCCTTTTTTTTTTTAATTGAGTTTATTGGTACATTTTAGGGATACAGTACAGTTACATTCATTGTTAGGATCTTGTACCTCTATATGACAGGTCTTGGTTCTCATTTTTTCCCCTTGTCCCTGCCCTCCCTTCACCTCTCCTCCCCTCCCCATTTACCACCACTTTATTTCCATCTTTTCATTTTCTCACATTTTTTCTTTTCCCTTATTTACCCTTCCCCTACCCATCCCACCTTCCCTACACCTTTAGACCTTTTCTTCCCATTTCACAATATGCCTTTGAACAAGAGGTAAACACCTGTGTAACAGATGAACTGGAGAATTATTGCCTAGCGACCAACTAGGGTACAGACACAACACAAGAACAGTGTGCACACTTGATAATGAATGGACATGGTTGTGTCTAATATGAATCTTCACAATTCAGTTCGTCCTGTGTTGTAATGGATATACATAGATGCACTTGTGTGAAACAAAGAAATGTTTTTGGAATTTTGGTGCCTGTAATTTTTCATCACTTTTGTGAGGACCATCATGCTTTTTTCTTTTCTTTTTTTTCTTTTTTTTTGGTACTAGAGATCAAACTCAGGACCTTGAGGACCTTGCACTTGCAAGGCAGGCTTGGTGTTACTGAGCTAAATCCCCAGCCTGAGGAGCATCATTCTTTTTCTTTTTTGCACCATTGAGCTAAATCCTGCCTGGACCATCATTCCTTTTTTTTTGGTATTGGAGACTGAACTCAGGACCTTGCACTTGCAAGACAGGTAGCGGCACCACTGAGCTAAATCCCTGGCCCATCATTCTTAACGATCATCATTTTTGTTGTCACTCCTGTCTCCTAACACTTAACTCTTCAATTAATACTTGCTCTTAAGGGAACTCTGTGAAGCCCAGCGTGCAAGAAGTCATGACTTGGATGCAGAATTCATGGGATAAAATCACTGACAGCTGTGTTGTCACTGCACTAGGAGCAGGCTACATGGACAGGAAGTGCTCATTTAAGGAGGGCTGTATTGCTGGACATGAGAGAGTGGAACCAGTAGCTCTATAGGAAAAGGAGTTGCAAGAAATTCAGACTGATTTGGGTTTGGAGAGTTATGACCATGTTCCAGAAGATGACATACCTGTATCTGAATAAACACAGATTTTTGTATATGAATAAATATATGAATGTCAATTGTAAGGTATATGAAAAATAAGACATCCCCTGAAACTAAGCCCTATTGCATCTTTTGGAGAAAAAATTAATGAGACCCAATTTTATTTTCAGGGAAGGCCAGGGATTTAGCTCAGTGGCATCATGCCAGCCTTGCAAGCCCAAGGTCCTGAGTTCAATTCCTAGTACCAAAAAAAAAAAAATTTTTTTTTCAGGAAAATGTGGAAATAGCAGGATCCAACTTAATGAAGTAAGACAGATGGAACCAAACATCACCACTTACTGAAGAAGCACACTGACAGAGCCTGACCTTGGTCCCTCATTTCCCCATCTCTCCCACCCTACTGACCATGACCACACGTGGGAGAAAAAGTACCCGGAAAGGAGACAGGCTGACCTGAGAACCATGCCAGGCCTGCCAGACATAGCACCTGCAGAGCCAACCAGCTCCAGACTGCCTTCCCACATTTTGGCCACACTGGCCGCCCTGTCCCCTCACTGTGCCACTCCACACAGGACTGGTTCTCTCATGGCCATTAGCTCTCAACACCCCCTCCTCAGAGAAGCTTTCCTTACACCATGCAGGTGGGGCACCTATACCTTTCAAGGTCCCTTTCCATCACTCTATCTACTTAGACTTTTTATTAAGTTGTATCACAACTTCCAATTAAGCATCTGGCTTCTGAGCTGAAGCTTGCCTGTGAGAGCAGAATCGTATCTTTTCTTTACAGCGCTCAGTACGGTGGCTGGCAGATGGTAAGAATTCATACACATGTGTGGAATGCACTGGGGAACATGAACAGAGCTTTCCAGGCCCCACTTTGGTCTTAGACTTCCAGCACACAGCAGCTCACCTTGTACATAGGGCCCCATCTCTGGATGCTCCCTGACCCGCAAGGTATAGGACTTTTTTTTATCAGACTGCTTCAACAGATCCCGTACTCGTTCATTATAGATTTCCAGGAAACTAGAGATGAAGAGAGAAAGGCAACACAATTAAAAATTTTAGAAAGAAAGAAAAATACTAAGCTAAAAACCAGAAGGTTCTAGGTTTGTTTTTAAATCAGCCTTCTTCTGCCATGCCCTTCTGTCATGTTGGCTCTGCCTTGCCACAGGTCTAAAAGCAATGGAGCCAGCAGACCATGGATTGAAACCTCTGACATCAGGAGCTACAATAAATCTTTCCTCCTCTAATTTGATTTTCTCAGATATTCGATCACAGCAACAAAAAGCTGAATAACACAGAAAATAAAGGAAAGGGATGAGAGACAGGACAAGCAGGTAAGCAGGGCCACAGAAAGAACTGCTTGTTCACAGAGAGGGAATTTTCCTATAATCCAAGAACCTAAGATGTTTCTCATCTTCCTGTTATGCAAGAGTTGTCTGCTGTGCCTTTTCTCCAACCTTCTGGTGACTTTGGAAGAAGAAAGGACAGCCGAACATGCTGAAATTCAGAAAAGAAATAGGGAACATTTCAAGTCCTGGAGCTTGATGGGTTCTTACCTCACTTTGATCCTACAGGAGGAAGGTAATGAGGCACAGTCTTCCTCTCTGATGAAGAGACCCTGCAAAAATGAAAGGAGTGGGATCTCACTGAAGGGAGTAGACAAAGGAGATCTACTTTAGAAAATCCAGTCAAGAATGTCTATACCTCACATATCCGTGGTGTTAGCCCAAGAGAGGCCTAGAGAACAGAAGAAAAGAAAGCATTATGGTTTACTCTGGGCAATGTCCCCTGACCCAATATCCTGGAAGCCCCCTCAGGATGAAGGATGGGTCTCTGGCTCCTTACTAGGCTTTCTACATTAGGAAGCTTCACTGAAGTGTACAGAGACTTAGGTGGCCATGCTATCAAGAGACACTTGAGAGAGGAAAGCACCAATGAGAGGCAAATTATCACCCTAAGACAGAGGGTAGAAAAGCTAGCAAAACTAAATGTGTGCCTTCATGCAGTGAAGATGACATTCTTCTTGAATAAACCCACTTTACTACTGTGGTCCCCAAGATCCCTACCACTTATCCCTAAACACTAGAGGACTAGAGGACATGGGGGTTGCAAAATATACATCTAGAGAGAAGTGGCTTCTTTCTCCATTTTATATCCAGATAAAAGGAAACCTCTCATTAAATCCTACCTACTTTGACAGCTCCCAGCCCCCAGTTAATTCCCCTTCTTCCTTCCAACATATAGATCTGACACACATAGATAATGAACTGGGCCAAATAATCCATCTATACCCAGCCTCAGTCAGCACTATTAAGTTCAGGTTAAGAAGTCTCAAGTGAGGAGCCAGGGATTTAGCTCATTGGTACTGCACTTGCCATGCAAGCGCAAGGTCCTGAGTTCAATTCCTGATACCAAGTTAATAAATAAATAGAGGTCTTGGGCCGGGGATTTAGTTCAGTGATTCTGCCACCTGCCTCAGATTCCCCAGTACCAATAAATAAATAAATAAACAAACAAATAAATAGAAGTCTCAAGTGATTAACTTGAAAATAATATAACAAATTCAGTCAGATTGACAAGGGAGTCCTTGTCAAAGAGACCTATAAAATTCTAAGGTTCTTCAGAGTCTAATAAAAAAGGAACTATTCAAAGTTTACCTTGTAATTACAGTTGTGAAAAGCTCATTTTATGTAAGGAAGAGGGCTCTATTCAGATCTTGCTAAAGTTGACTGACTGTAGAAATCACAATGTGTCACATTGGCAAGGACAATACAAACTTTCGGCTCACAATGGCATTACGGAGCAGCACATGACAGGACTAAGACTCACCGGGGTCCCAAGCATAGTATGTGTCTTCCCAGATCCTGTCTGTCCATAGGCAAAGAGGCAAACGTTGTAGCCTTTGGCAGCCCCAGATAGTACTTCAGTCCCCAAACCCTGGAACACCTGTGACAACAAGAGCAGAGAGAGTGCCAATGGTTCTTCCCACTGAAAATTTAGAATTTTTTAATCTATAAAACTATAAAATATTTCAAATACATATACTATAAATTCCCATTATTGCATAAAAACCAATTCAGTTTTAGAAAAAGATAAAGAAAAAAAATATTTTTTAGTACCAGGGATCGAGCTGAGGACCTTGTGCTTATGAGGCAGACAGCAGCCCTTCATATATTTTTTAAAGCATTAATTCTATGCCAGGCATAATACCAGATATTAAAGATATAAAAACTGTAAGATCTCTAGTCTTAACACAAAGAATCTAGGAAAAGGACAAAGACATGTGGAAAAAACAATTATTTGTCTCTCTCTCACAACAGAAAATGTTTTAATATGGTTAAATGGATAAAGTTGCCACGAAACACTGCATGGTAACATGCAAATTCAAGGCCTCAAAATACCACATTAAGGATCAATTAACCAGAAGATGGAGAAGATTTTCACTGTAGGCCCATTATCTGTATGTTCCCTTCTCAGATGTTCCCTAACATCCAGCTGGTACTGCTGGTCACTTACCTCTGTAGTAGCTAGGTTTTATAGGAAAAAAAATCAGAAACAGCCAACAGTCCTGGTGTGGAAATTTCTATATTTTCTGTACTTCATGAAAGTCCTGTTTAACTCTGATAAGCAGACCTCGGTCTCAGAAAAAACCAGCCAGCTTCTAAGGAAGGCATAGCTTCCTAGCTCAACCAATCTTCAGCAAAATGCATGTTGACACCTGCACATGTCCATAGCTGGTACAGTAGATATTTGCCCTTTGTATGGCTATGGTCCACCATCCAAATACTCTTCCCATCTGGGGAGAATCTTTGGTTGTGTCAGTCTTGGTGGCAAGAAAGGCTAAATACAGAAGCCAAGCAGGCCAGATACTTTGCTTTCTAGCAGCTAAAACACTAGCACATAAAATGAGGCCCTCTGACTATGCCAGTGTTCCCACTTGAATTTTGTTTTCCTTTTTCCTAGGGCCTGAACTCAGAGCCTTGTGCATGCTAGATAAGCACACTACCACTGAGCTACAGCCTCAGTACACTGAACTTTGAAAGACACAAATATAAAGCAACAGTTGATAGATTCTCCAAGAGTCCAACAGTGGCAGAAGCATCAAGTGTGGTGCTCAAATCAGACCATCCATGCTGTGCTCCCTGTGCTTGGGTTCTCATACTTTTCTCAATTCTCGACTTTCCTTTCAATTCTGTGAATCATCTGGTATGGTTATAAATTGTAGTATGGTTCTAACATTGCATGACTAGGCTGTATGATCTTGGGCAATGCTATGGCTTACATCAAATGTCCCCCCAAAGATTCATATGCCTATAAGCAGGACTTTGGGGAGTGACTATATCATGGGAGTATAAATGCTACATTAAGTTTAGTAATTGTTTATATAGTTCTGAGAACGGTTGGTACCAATCAGCAGGCTTGCAACCTGGATGCAATAAAAAGAGAAAGGAGGAGGAAGGCCCTATTTCCTGCCTGCCACACCATAAACTTTTTCTCCTCTGCATTTCCTCCCTTAACTTGTGGGTGTCAAGTATTTTGTCCAACCAACAACAAAGTAACTGAGTCAGATTTTGGTACTAGAGAAGTAGGGTCATTGTGACACTAACTGGCCATGTGGTTTCAAAGCTTTTGGAACTGGCTTGAGGGAAGAGTTTGGAGGATTTGGAGATGTCAGCTAAAGAAGCAGACCGTAGAATGCTGCAAGCCAAACTTTATGAGAGATTCTGGTCAGAGCTCAGAAGACTACAATGCTGACAGAAATGAAGCTCCAAGCTCCAGAGATTTCAGTTTGGAACAAGGACTCCACTGGCAGCTAGACTCCAGGCTATTTGTCTTATGCTGTGGCAGAAAATTTGTCTACATTCATACCCTGAGACTTTGTGGGAGACTGAGATTAAGGGCAGTGGACTAATCTGGTGGAATAAATTTCAAGGCACTCTAAAGTTGAGGCAGTGGCACGGCTACTGTTGGTGGCTTTCAGCCAGATCTATGTTGAGAATCAAGACCAAAGGACCAAGCAGAATGATTTAGTTTTGAGTTCGGCCAGAAAGGAAGTTATGGTAAAGTTGGGGCCAGCAAAGATGGATCAGATGAGAAGGTGGTTTTAGAAACTTGCTGAGGCTTGAATTCACAGCATTCAGCAATCCAGGCACTCAACCCCTACAACCAAAAGAGAAGAAAGCCTGGTTACTGCTCTAGCTGGCAGCAAACCTTGATAGTATCCACATGGTGCTCATTTTAGGCACATGCAGAATGCAAGAGTTATTATGGGGTTAGAACTGCTTCCACCCAGGTATCAGAAGAAGGCCTGGGAGGACCATGTGTGAAGTTGAGTATGAAGCCAAAGGTGCACTGGAGATCCCCTAAGTTTGGAGAAGCCAGGAATGTGATCATCTGAGGAAAACTGCAAGGGAGCAAAGCCAGCCCGAGAGAGAAGCCATGGGAGCTACAACAACCTGCACGGCCATAGGGGCGGAGCCACCTGAGCACTTTGGAGTTCACATCTTCACCACAGATTGTCCCAGGCACTGGACATAGAACTACGGGATTTAATGTGTGCCTCACTGGATTTTGGTCTTGCTTTGGTCCTATTTCTTTCTATCCGCCTATTCATACCTTTTGGAATGGGAATGTTTAGCTGGTGCCACAGTATGTTGGAAGTGTTTAACTTTCTTTTTATTTGTACAGGGCTCACAGCTAAAAGGTTCCCTTAAAACTCAGAGGAGACATGCGTCTTGGACTTTTCAACAATGCTGAAACTGTTAGGGACTTTAGCAACTGTTAGACTAAATGCCTTATGCATAAAAGGATGCATGAGTCTATTGGTGGCCAGGAGAAATGTGGCTTGTGTCTAGATGTCCCCTCAAAGCCTCATGTGCTCATAGGTGGAATTTTTGGGAGTAATTGGATCATGGGTGTGATGCTGGATTAGTACACTGATTAGGTTAGCAATTCTGGTTGTGGAGGATGGACTTACTAAAGAGGGAAGACTCACCCTGGGTGTGGGTGGCACCAAGCAATAGGCTTTCAGCCAGGATGGAATAGAAAAGGAAAACAGAAAGAAGTCTCCCAGCTTCGTGCCTGCAATATCATGAGCTGATTCTCCACTGCCATGCACTTCTGCCATACTGCCCTGCTTTGGAGCCAGCCAACTACAGATAGAAACCTCTACACACTGTGAGCTAAAATAAACCTCTCCTTGGGCTGGAGATGTGGCTCAGTGGTTCCACCACGTGCTTTGCAAGCGCAAGGGATCAAGTTCGATCCCCGACACCAAAAAACAAACAAACAAAAACTCTCCTTTAACTTGTAGGTGTTGGATATTTTGTCCCAGCAACCAGTAAATATCTAAGACTGTAAATTACTTTAGTTTTGTTTTAGTCTCTCTAGCTCTGTGTCTATATTACAAAAACTGATACGAATTTAAGTGAGGTCATACACAAAACTAGGGATAGCAGCTGGGGATTTAGCTCAGTGGCACCATACCTGCCTTGGAAGTGCAAGATTCTCAGTTCAATCCCCAGTACCAGGAAGAAAAACAAAAACAAAAGCCTAGGGACAACAGGGACAGAGGAATAGCACTCAAAGTCAAGACTATATTACCTGTTCTGTGTTTTAGCTCCTTAGCCAGTGAGATATTTGTTTTGTTTAGTGCTTCCCACATTCAGGCATAGGGCCAAAGATAACCCAGGGTGCAGTGTATGACTTGGGCCTTGAACAATTCCCACTTCCTTCCCCAAACTCCTTTGTAGTCCTCTCTGTTCACTATTCATGCATTAGCAAAGCCGAAAATTGGGCAAGATTATTTGCCTCCTGACATCTGGCTGGGAGAAATTTCCACAGTTTGAAGGAGGGGTATATTTCTCTACATCAGATCACTTGAGTTGGCTGCAATCCATTTACTGTTGAAACTCCACTCTTCTTTCTAGTGTCCCAGTGGGAGGTGAGAACAGAGGTGCAGACAAAGAAAGGCCACACCTAGATCTAAATATTATTTCTTCCCACAATTCATGCACAGCTGAGCAGAGGAAAAACTGTGAGAAAAGCACAATGTTACCTTGTCCCTGTCTTTATGCAAATTCAAATAATTGCCTAGAAGTTTTATGAAACCATCTTTGAAGATACCATTTTCTCTCAACAGTAAAAGATTTCAATAGGCAAAACCACTAGGCTCCAAACTTGGGATTGTTGGAAACTGTTAAGATACAGCTACCATGCTTCAAGATCTATAGTAATTAAAAAAAGATAAAAACCTGTGGGACTTAGCTCATTATAAGTTCTTGAAAAGCCTGCCTTAGATATGGGCCAGAGAAGAACCTGCCTTAGATATGGGCCAGAGAAGACTATGTTCCACTTCCCATCATGATAATGTAGTGAAGCAGATAACCACTCATTGTGAACACCAAATGTAACCCGAAGCCTAAAATAAGTCACTCAATAGCAATCTGAAGCTACAGGGCCAAATTCAGGAGAGATAGACTGTCTGACTTTTTTTTGAAGTGCAAGTAGGAGAAGGTTGTTAGATTATATATAATAGAGCACTTCCCATATGATTCCTATTCCTTGGTATATATCCAAGGAATTAAAAACGTGTAAACAAAAACTTGCACATGATGTTTATAGCAGCTTTATTCACAATCTCCAAAACTTGAAAGCAACCAGTATGTCTTTCAATAGGTGACTGAGTCATAATATGTGGTACATCCAATCAATAGGCTATCATTCCACACTAAAACGGAATGAGCTTCAAGGCATGAAGAGAAGACATGAAAGAATCACAAGTACATGTTACCAAAAATGAGTTTGAAAAAACAATATATTCTAACTAAATATTGTGAAAAGTTTAAAACTATAGAGATAATAAAAAGGTCAGTGGTTGCTGTCAGGGGTAAAGGGGAAGGAGGATCATGCAGAGCACAGGGCACTTTTAGAGCAGGTAAATTGTT